ATTCTAAACTAATACGAGTCTCATATGTGTCCAGTTTAAGGGTATTACACAGAAACACACCATAATAACATGAATCAAATATGTACTTTATTCATTTACATTAAATGTCGTAATGTACATCATTCTGATTGGAGCTAAGGGCATATACTATCTAACAAGTCGGGGTTTATAGAGGAACAAAATCGATGGTAACAAATCATGAAACTTTGGTGTGGAGGCTTTATTTTGCCCATGTTGTTAATGAGTTGTTCTTGAATAGATCTCTCTTCATTATCAATGTAGAGGTTGTTGCTCTTAACCTTTTTGAAATGTGTCAATTTCTCCTTTAGTGACTGTTATTTGGAGTTGGAGACTTGGTCACAGTGTTTGGGTTGCAAAAGGACAGCTGTCAACACTTAATTTTTGCTCGGTCATCTCTCTAGACCACTTCCCGTACTCCAAATGCTTGATCAAACCTCACTATTCTCTTTAGAATGTACCAAAAACCTTAATAAACCAAATTTTGGCTTAAATACCCTTAAATCTACTATTAAATCCATAAGATTCCCTTTTGGCAGTCATGATTGTGCCACATCACCACACATGCCACAGAATCAGACTCCATCACATGAAACAAAACCTTTAGATAACCAATCACACCAAATTTCAGCCCAAAATTCCTTAATTTCATTGTTCATCCATCAAAGTTCCATTTTGACGAATATGATAGTACTTCACTTTTTGAGCCTAAATCCTATGATTCATGCATCCCTGACACAATCAAACCCCCCAAAGCAGCCTCATAATTCAAATCCATGCCACTCTACCAAGTTTCAACCTAAACTTTCCTTATTTACCCATTCATCAAACCAAGATTCCATTTTAAACCACCCCATTAACCAAAATACCCTCTACCTAGGTTCTCATGTTTCCAACACCTCTAAAGCCATCAACCATTCCCATTGGACTCTAAATATCCTAGGATGCCCATTCACCAAATTTTAGACCAAAAATGCCCATTTTTCCCTTCATACAAAAAGATTTTAAATCAACTAGTCTTGTTGCCCACTACTCTAAAAACCAAAATCTTTATCAACCTCTTGATCGACCATCCATCAAATTTTAGACCCAAAAATCTCCATTTTACCTTTCGTATAAGAAGACTCCAAATAGGGATGGCAATTTTCCCCATTTCCTTGAGCCCCATGGGGATTCGCCCTAGATGGGGGTAGGGATGGGGATTATTTTCCCCCCACGGGCACAGGAATGAGGAAATTTTCATCCCTGTTGGTGGAGATGAGGCGGGGACGGGGAGAGCATTCCCCACCCCACGGGGACCCCAATCCTCGTCCTATGGGATCCCCACTAATATATGTATATATGTACACATACATTTATATATGTATATATTTATACATGCGTCTACATAGTAATATTTTTAAAAATATTATGGTTGAATATGTTTTAATCTTTTCTAATATGATTGTAATTTTTAATTATTTTATTTTTATTTTTTAATTAAAATAAAAAGCAAAATCAAAATGGTTAACATTATAAAAAATCACGGGGAGTGGAGATCCTCGTAGAGATGGGAATTCCCGGGGATGGGGTAACCTTGTTCTTGTTAGCGGGGACGGGGACGAGGACAAGAATGGTGATTTTCGTGGGGACGGGGATGGAGAGGCTCTCCGTCCCCGCCCCACCCCGTTTCCATTCATAATTCCAAATCAACCACTTTTGTTGCCCCTACTCTCAAAGTCATAGATCTTCGTCATGACACTACTTCCAAGGCCTCCAAACCCCACCATAACCTTCATCAACATCCTGATTGACCACCCATCAAATTTCAGACCCAAAAGTACCATTTTATCGCTCACATAAAAAGGTTCCAATTCAAATATCCTTATTGGCCATTGCCCTCCTATTTCAAGATATCTATTGCAACAAACCTTTTAAGACTTCTAAACCCCACCAATAACATCCTTAACCCCTTGATCGTCCACCAATCAAATTTTGGACCAAAATATTCCCATTTTACCCCTTACATAAAAAGATTTTAAATCAAGCACACTTGTTAGTTGCAATTATCCAAATTCAAGATTTTCATCGTGACATGCCAATTAGAATCCAAATCCATTAAGGATGTTGGATATCCGAATTGGATTCGATCCAGTTTAATATCTAGAAATTTAATAAATTATTGAAAGGAAAAAAATACCATTTATATAAAGAAAAACAAAAAGTACAAGTATTTTTTCAGCTATTTTCATCATATATATACATGTTTTTTTTATAAAAAATAAACAATATAAAAAATTACAAAAATACAATATAAAAATATTTATAAATAAATAAATAGCATATATATTGGATAGGATAGGAAATGATCCGATCTGAGGGTCCGTTTGGTTTGTAATTGGAATCGGAATCGAAATCCTCTGAAATTGGAATCCGAATGGTCCATTCCCATAGTCTGTTTGGTTCAAACAGAAATGGGAATGAGAATTAAAATTAGCAAGAATGAAATTTCATTCCTAAAGGAGGGGCAGGGAATGACCATTCCCTCAAATGGGGGAATGCAATTCTAACAAGAATAGAAATAGGATTCCAATTCTGCCCAACCAAACAGTTGGATTCTGATTCTGATTCCAGACCCCTATTCGTATTCCTTTAACTAAACAGGGGCCTAATTTTTAATATATATCAGAATCCAGTAAAATAGGATTAATTGGATTTCGAATCGGATGGGATCTTATCACAATCTGATCTGTTTGCACTCTTATACACCAATCCACGATAATGAGTCACTAAATAGGTGTAATATATACTTATATAGGCAATCAACATGGTCCATTATGTCATTTTGGTCGGCTATATTACGATATTTCAAAAAGTCATTTCAATAAAATTTATCTTCTCTTATGCTGCAATCAAATATGCAAACCTCCCAAAGACTAAAATTTTTTTGAAACAAGATTGAGATGGATGCAACAAATTATGTATAACAATCTTTAATTTCATCTTATTTTTCAAATAAAAAATATATTTAAAAAAAATACACAATTGTTTTCAAGAATATATTCAAAAAATACGAGAGGCACGTACCCTTCAGCTAATAATTATAGAAAAAGGAACAAAAAGTTTTCTGCATAAAAGTCGTAGTTAATTTATATATATCACCTCACCTCCTTTAGTGGTCTGATCAGGCGGCTCAGGAATTCGTTCGCCTACTGCCGCCGGCGCTTCTGGTGTTAAAGCATTCCGTGGCCGGTAGAAAAGATAGCCCTCGTACCTTAAATTGCAACTTGGAGCAAGAATACGCCACCCTCGCTTTCGTTTAACCTCGTCGTCTATCTGGGTCAATAATGTATTCAAACACTTATCACATCCATCGCCACGAAGATCTCTACTGCACTGTACAAGACCGTATCTTGTCTCACTCAGCTGCGGATTATAATCGTCAGCTTCAAAGAATCGAGATGACTTGGATGCTATTTTCACCAATCCGTTTATCAAATATTCAGCACTGATGTCGGGTTTTTCTAGTTCGGATCGATTTTGGATGTTATACATTAAGAATTCCGGTGACATTTCAACATCGCCAAAGAAACTTCTGTTTGAGTACCTTAGCATGCAGTGGTCGTACCATATAATAGCCTCTTTCTGGTAGGTACAAAGTTGTATGATATTTTCAGTTGTGAGCTTGACGCAATTCCGGCAATCTTCAGGTGTAACATCGCCTCTGCAGAGGGAGAGACCATAGATGCTATCGGCACCCTGGCCGGATTTAGCAGTATAGAACCCGCCATCATTGACTGTAGCGTTAGAGGATAATGAAGAAAGTAGATCTAGTTTGTATGATATGTGCTATTGATTGTGTTGTTGCTTCCAATGCAGAAATGATACAGCGGGGACTCGTTTTGGCCGGAGCTGATTTCCAGTTTTAGGAGGAACATGGAAGAAAAACACAAGAACAGCTTCCGATAAAACATTGTTTGTTACTTCAGCTTTTGCCTTTCTGGATGCATAATTAATTAATGGATGATGGGTCATGCCTAAGTAGCCGATGGAGAAGGTTCAGCTTAATTTCCATCACAATATTGCGGTTTTTTCAAGGCAGAAAGATAAGCTATTGGACTTTTTTTTCTTATTAATGGGTCTTATAAAGTTTAAAATGGGGGCTAGCACGTTGCATCAGCTGATGTATGTCTTGAAGAAAAGCCCTTTGCGGTCCAACCAGGGAGGCTACCACCACGAGCTAATTCTGAATTCCAGCCACCCCCTACGACTACCCCTCTTCCCCTTATAAACCACATCCTGCCCGTGAATTTGGCATCAATTCACGGTCAGGATGCATTCCCCCTGTATTTCGTGGCTAGTAAATTCTGAGCTGGGCTGATCGGTACTTCTCCCTAAAAAAAATAATAATACTCTTGAAGACCAGTTCTTTTTGATGTGAGCTGGACTTGGAGATAGCCCAATTGGCTTGTTTTGTGCGGACAGATGATGGTAGGAATTGAAAGTGAATTTGACTCAAAGATCATTTAATTTGAAGTGATCAATTCTGCTTGGACATATTAGTTAGGTTGTTCATTGACGTATTAAGACTTCTGCTCTCTTCCAGCTATAGAATGGTTCTTAATTTGGTTGCTGGTTACTTTTCTCAGGTCTTCTGATCAAACTTTAGTTATAGAATGGTTCTTAATTTGAGATATCACCTAATAACTTAACCTTTTAGCTAGGTTGATTGGTTCTTTGAGATCATATTATAACCTGTTGGGCTAATTATTTTATATAATGACTGATCAGTCTAGGTCAGAATTTTGTAGCCCCACTGTACAGGGGGATGAATCCTGACTATGGATTGATGCCAAATCCATGGACAGGATGCGGTTTACAGGGGGGCCGGGGGGCTTTTAATAGACTATGGGGGACTGTAATTCAGAATTCTCCATTGGGTTGTAGTGTATTTAACCCTTAATTAAATTTCAGTACAATGTTTGAGTGGGTCGTACTTATCCACACTTCAAGTTGAATGGACTATTGTGTGAGATTTGTATAAGATGACGTGTTAGAAAATAAAAGCCTAGTTAGGGGCCTCACCCTAACAGCTTAAGTTTTTATGTTGAATGGTTCTTTTAAGAAAATACTAGAAGAAAATAAAACTTGATTACAGATTTGATGGAAAAAAATACAATTTTTGTCAGTAGCAGTGAGACAGAGGCAAGACTAACCATTGTAGAACATGTCAACGATTGACAAAAATAACTCGCTACTCTATATTCAAGATATCGTTTTCTCTTTACACAATTGGCCAAACCACTCATAAATGAAGGCCAAATGAATTGCTAAAATAACAGAGTGCAATGGTCAATATTATGGAGGACCATCTATTATCTTGGATCAAAAGGTTGTATGGGTTTATAAAAAAAAGCAGAAGTTAGAATGAGAATTTGTTTAGAAGGGTTTGAGAAACAAAGTTTTGTAGAAAGGATGGAGGAGAAAGAAAGAATTTGTATCCACTTGACTTATCGACCCATAGGGTTACATGTACATTTATACAAAGAATAAAGTAATGAGAATAAAAAATAAAAATAAAAAAGGAAAGAGAAGAATAAAGCAATTGCCTATTCACAATATCTCTTAAACTAAGAATTGCCTCTCTTGGAGATTTCCAGTCTTGGATTGAAGTTTCCTGTTCCATATCGATCAATTCATATCCTTCCTCAATACGCCCCTTAAGTGAAAATGGACTAGAAGCACATGAAGCTTGGACCTCAAGAAATCAAATTGATGAGAGGAGATAGGTTTAGTAAATACATCTACAACTTGATCTTCAATGAGAATATACTTCATTGTGAGAGATTTTTAAAGAATTAGATCTCTCAAAAAATGAAAATCCACTTCGATGTCCTTAGTATGAGCATGAAAAATTAGATGAGTGGCAATATACATTGCACCAACATTATCACAATAGAGAACAAGAGAATAACCCTAAGTAACCCTTAAATCATGTAGTAGAGATTGTAACCAAAGCAATTCAGTAGTGGTATTTGCCAATGATCAAAATTTGGCTTTAGTGCTTGAATGAGCAATAATAGGCTATTTCCAGGCACTCCATGAGATTAAGCGAGAGACAAAAAAGATACCATAACTAACAGTGGAGTGATGATCATCAAAGCATCCAACCTAGTTAGGAACCAAAAGATTGTGCATCAAACAATAAACCCTAATAAAGCGTACCCTTAAGATAATGAAAAATGGGCTTTACAAGTGGTCAATGTGCATCAGTGGGAGCTTGAAGAAATTGATTTTCCTTATTAATAGCAAAGGCCACATCAGGCCTAGTCAAGGTGACATATTGTGACACTCCAACAATACTATAGTATTGTGTAGGATCAAGTAGAGGCTCTCCTTGTAACTTGGATAGCTATGAAGTAGACACCATAGGAGTTTACAATGGCTTCAATGTTGTGAGATTGGTCTTCTACGAGATATCAAGAATATAGCACCGTTAGGAAAGAAATAACTTGGTGTTGTCACAATGAGCTTCTACACCAAGAAAGTAGTGAAGAAAGCCAAGATCTTTAAGAGAAAAACTGTAAGATAGTTCCATAGCAAGTTAGGATACATGTGAAGCAAAAGATTTAGTAATAATAATATGATCAACATAGACTAAATTATAGAGATAAATTTTAGTCTTGTGATAGATAAAGAGAGAAGGATCACACTATGAATTCTTGAAGCCAAGACCATGCAACTGGCCATTCAACCTAGAGAAATAAGCATATGGAGCATGTTGAATCCCATAGAGAGCTTTATTTAATTTGCACACATAATTAGGACAAGTTTGATCCTAACCACATGATGTAGCAAGAGAGAGAACCGTATAAATAGTGTTCGGTTTGCCAATCAAATTGAAAGTGTTAGTAAAATCAATAATAGGAATCTAAGAAAACCCTTGGGCAACGAACCTTGCTTTATACCTCTCAATCAAACCATTAAGTTTCCTTTTGATTTTATATATCCATTTAGAACCAACAACATTCATAATTGGATTGTAAGGAACCAATTTCCACGTATTGTTTTGAAGAAGAGCATAAAACTCTGAAGCCATAGTTGAATGCCAATGAGGAGATTTAGCAACTTGAGAATAAGAGGAATGTTTCACTTCACTAAGACTATTATCAGCAGAGTACTGTTGGAATAGGATAGCGTGTAGTAGTATAGCACGTTGAGAATGAGTGGTCATTGAACAAATAGTCATGGAGTGAGTCCACTCAGATGGTGGAGGAACTACAAGTGTCGCATCAAGGATATCTTGCACCAGCCTTGTGTGAAAAAGAGGGGCCTATTAAGAATCATTATAAGAGCCAAAATCATGAATAGGAGATGCAAAAGAATCAATTGGAATAGAGATATTATCATGTTGTGAGGTTGGATTCACAAGATATTAGGAGGAAGTGATTCTTTATTTGAAGAAACCACCCCTAGAACAAGTGGTGAAAACAACAACCTCTTCCCTCATAGATACAAATGACATTGAGTCCTATGAAATACTTGGAAATTGGTGTTCATCAAAGACGACACAATGTGCAATAATTTCTTGAGATGTAGCTGGATTAAAACAGCGGAAGCCTTTATGTTTTGAATTGTAACCAACAAATATATAGGTAGTGGAACGATAGTCCATCTTATACTTGTTGTAAGGTCAAAGTAAATGATAGAAAACAACAACCAAACTTAATAATATAGAATAATCAAGAACATGGCCAAATAACTTCTTACATGGGGAGAGATTACCAAGTCTTGTGCAGGTAACCGATTAATAAGAAATATTGTTGTGTTTTCTACCTTAACATAGAAGGATTTGGTGAGAGAGGAGGATTCCAGTAGAGAGAGCGGACTCAATAACACATTGGTCCTTTCTTTCAATAGTCACATTTTGTTCATGAATATGAGGGCAACTCACATGATGGACAATTCATTTAGTATCTAAAAATTGAGATAAATAACGATATTCTCCACCCAATCACTTCAAAGCATTTTAATATGAATAGAAAATAAATTCTCAACATGTTTCTTAAATTTGAGAAAAATATCAAAAGCATTAGATTTTCTTTCAATAAGACAAGTCCATGAAAATTTTTAGTATACATCCATAAACTAAACATAATAATGAAATCCTTTATTGGACACAACTGGTGTAGGACCTTACACATAAAAAAGACCAACTCTAAAGAATAAGGAAGTCTGTATTTAGAAATAGCATTCTTAACAATTTTGAGAGATGCATGACCAAGGTGATGATGCTAGACTTTCAAAGAAGCTCCTTCTCCAACAAATATTACAACTACGCCCTACTTGGTAAAGTCCATGCTGGACTTTGATAAAGTCCATCTCTACTAGGTCCCCGGAGTATAGTTCTACCCATATGATCATTAAATAAAAAGAAATCCAAATGAAATTCAAATATGAAATCATTGTCTTTTGTGAATTTACTAACAAAAAGTTGATTCATTATCAAGGCAACATGTTTAAGGCAAATTGATGCTTATTGTAAACAAGAGAAGAAGAACAAATAATTTGTATAATCAAATTAACTTGCTCTATTGCCAATTTTAACTTGATCCATACCCAAATATTTAGACTTGTTTTGAAGATTCTCTATATCTAGATTCATATGATGTCTAGCACCATTATTTGGATACCAGGATAGATTGAAGTTGGAAGTCAAACCATTATGAGATGTCATTCCACTGTGAAATTTTGTAGGACCGGAGGTATTGTTATTATTTTCTCCTTGGTAGGGAGAGCATATCTCTTATAGCACTTTAGTGCCCCATGTCCATGCTTATTGCACTATTGGTAGATGATGGGGGTGCCTCTTCCTTTTCCTTGACCTCGTCCAAAGGGATCATTACTGATGAGGGACAAATCATTCAACTTCCCTGCTAAAGGACAGCTCGAACGAACAATGGTCGAGGTCAGGAGACTGATCTATAAGAAAATAGGATCAGAGTACCTAGGGTTTTTTACCCAAGCTGAGCACTTCGATGCTTAAGTTAGCCGCATTGGGTGGGGTTTCTAAGAGAGTAATGAACATAGAAAGAAAGTGATAGCAAGAGAGCTGGCTTTGCACTTAACCACGCATACCTTATGAGGGCGTGGAGGTGCCTTTTTATAGGTCCTGGGGTCCAAGAGTCGTGTCCAAGATATCCAGGAGTGATAGGTCTTATCGGCCCATTATCTTCGGGGCACATTCTATCGGTATTGGTGCTGATCCTCATTTAGTCACTCATAAAGCGTGTAGGACCAGGGGTTATCCTTGCCAGGTGGATGAAACGTTGCCATCTATTTTGGAACCAACAGGCATGCTAACCGAATAAGGACAACCGCCATGTAGGTCAGTACCTCGGAGGTCGGTTGGCTACTTGAGTTGTTGGCTGCCCAAGTCGGGGAGGTCAAGCTGGCATCCAAAGTTATCGGTTTGTTCTCTCGAGGTGATGTACTCCGCTTTATTGTGAAGCAACCTGTAGGTCTTCCTTTGATTGAGATGTAGGTCGGGCTAGTTGGCTTAGATCGTCTAGCCTATGACCTATCCTCATGTGGCATCGAGGTGTCATTAAACGGTTCGGATTTTCCATGTGGCATTTCGTGGTTGGTTGGCTAGATCACCCCTCATCAATTTCCCCCACTCCTAAACCTGAGGTGTTAAACTTGACAAAGGGAGTAGTTCAATTCGGGGTGATCACGGCCTGACACCTGATTTTGGTTCTTCATCGAGTTGTGGTTCAATATTGAACCAATTCACCTAACTGGGATCATCTAATAGTTTGCATCCTGAGCACATGCACTTTTTTCTATTGGTTTTCTACTTCAGCAGTCAGTTTGGCTTACTCTAATTCACTTGTGCAGGAGACATGTTGGGAGTAAGCACCAAGCACCTCGGGGCTCTTCCAAGCCATGAAGAGGAGGAAGAGGAAGGTTGCCCACAATGAGGCTCCTTAAGTCATGACCGATGAGCAGTTCAGGAAGGTAGCTACCAAGGTCATTGACCTCATCAAGGATGAATGGCAGGAGGGCATCAATATGGAATCCGGTGGCATCCAAGCTCCCGAGGTGAGTCTCCACTTCCTAGAGCCGACGGGACTGGCACTTTGGAAGTCGACTCTAGGGCGAGGTGCTCGATCCTAGATTCGGGGATGGCACTGGAGATGAGCAAGGTTGTCATGGTGTTGGAGACACAATGTACGTGGTGACCTGCCCAGGTCAACAGTAAGATACTTCGCTACCTCATGGTGGTGAGTGCTTTTAAGACCTTAATTTCTATTGTGCATCTTTCCTTGCCTTCTAACTATCTTGGGATCTTTTTTTAGGTGAGATCCTTGACACATGCTCTAATGAGCCAAGCCAAATTAGGTTACCAGCAGTGCGAGGCCTTGACGAGGGACGTTGAAGACTCTCGAGGTCACTTGGAACAAGCTTCTACACTCGTTTTAGACCTAAAGACTGAGTTGGCGCAAGAGAAAGCAAAGAAGGTTGAGCTAGAAAAGAAGGTTGATGAGCAGGCCAATGAGCTAGAGTAAAAAGAGGTTGATCTTGTGGAGCGAAGGTCAAAGTTCTTTGAAGACATCCATGTTGCCAAGGCCAAAGGCGTCAAAGAGTATCCTGCCTCTCAACAATTTCATTAGGAGAGGGATGACTTTGGTGTTGCGGCCTTCTGCTAGGGTTTCAAGTTGTGTCGTATGTTCGTGGTGTTTTTGAGCCCAGAGTTTGACCTGGTGAAGTTGAGGAGCTCGGCCTACATTACCGAGATGATGGAGCAAGTTGAAGAGGAGTCTGATTCTGAGGAGGAAGAAGGAAGGGCAGCGAAGATGAGGAAGTCAATGACAACGTTGAGGAGACAACTTGGGGATGATGACATATCCTGTAATGGCGAGTGATCATTTTCCTCTTTTCTTGGACCTCTCGTACATATGATGTATATCGAGCCTCTGAGCTTGGTTTTCAATTCCTGTTCCCCCCATATTTTTTTTTGTAGTAGTGATGCACTTCTTCCTTTTTGCTGAGTAATGAAAATTTACTTCTTTGCCCAATGTGCTGAAGTGTTCTTCTTTCTTGCACCTTTAATTTCTCTAAGTCAAAACAATGTTGAGGTGCTTAGAGCAGGTTGACATTTGATTTTAGTGAACCAAAGTGCATAGAGTGGGTCAGTTGGGGCTCGATATCGCCGATCTATTACTTACAACACTTAATGAAAATTCATAAGTTTTAACTTAGGAGCTTGGAACTTTAAATGTAATACCTTTTAGGTTGTCAACATTCCATGTATGGCGACCTACCTCCCTTCGAGAATTTCAAGCTCATAAGTCATAGGTCCTAGCACCTTAGTCACCTTGTAGGGACCTTCCCAATTAGGATTGAGCTTTCCTGAGCCCAGCTCAGGTACCATAACCTTCCTTAGCATGAGGTCACATGCTCGAAAGCAACACCTTTTGACTTTGGCATCATGGTATCGAGCTAACCTCTACTGGTAGGCGGCAGCTCTATTATTAGCTAGGTTACGTACCTCTTCGACCAAGTCAAGTTTGGTCCTCAACTCATTGTCATTCTCCTCCTCATTGTACATTTCTAACCGTGTTGGCACTTTGATATCAGTAGGGATAACAACCTCAGTTTCGAATGTTAGGTTAGACGGTGTTTCACCCATTGTTGTTCTGCTTGTCGTTCGATATGCCCATTAGACATTGGGTAGCTCGTCAACCTACAAACCTTGGGCTTGATCTATGTGAGCTTTCAAGCTTCACAAAATGGCCCTATTCGTGACCTTGACTTACATGTTTTCCTAGGGGTGAGCGACCACCGTGAAGTGTTGTTTGATCGATCCCCAGTTCGATACACCAATCTTAGAAACTGATATCTTTGAATTGTTTCCTATTGTGCGGGATCAATATGTGGGGCAGCCCGTATTGACAAACGATACATTTCCCAAAGAAGTTTTGGACGTTATAGGCTATGATGGTTGCCAATGGCTCGGCCTCAACCCACTAAGTAAAATAATCCATGGCCATGATCAAGAACCTTCTCTGCCCGGTTAGTGGGAAGGGACCGAGG